CTCACATGAGAATTTTTACAATAAAACTAAATTAATGGACCCTTATTCTTATCGTCTTAAGTACTTTTGTATTTGTCCCAAGTATTAGATCTTTTGACTGTGAACAAAGACTCATAAAATATAATTGCTTGCAAAGTTAGCTTGCTTTGGCAAATGGAACAAATCTCTGTTCTTAAAACCCTGAGAAACAATTTCTAGCCTTTCATTAATCACATTTTTCATTTGTTAGATCACTATCTGCTCTGTAACACCACTAACTACACACTTCCAGAGCAATAATGTGACTCTAGCCATCTGTAGGGTCCATGAGGTAATATTCACTTCACAAGTAAGCACGTTTTCCAAGGCTGTGGGAGGGCCTGCCGAGCTGCTCTCTTAAGTTCTGCCACTAACACTTAGAAGTGGCATGGGACCCAGGCTATAAACTGAGGGCAGCATGAAGAGGAGTCATTCCCTCTGAAGGTTTTCCCAGACAGAGTTGGGTGCACACCAATGCATATTGGAGATATTTAGCCCCCTTAAAAGGATTGATCATTATTGAGGTGATAGCAAAAGGAAAACATTACAGTTTTATTTTTTGTTTGTTTGTTTGTTTTAAACTACTTTTTAGGGGATTCTAGTTGATCAGCCTCGTTCTCATATCTTTTAAACAGGAACTAGTGCATGTTTACAGTTAGCCCTGCAAAGCATCCTTCTCTGAACCTTTTGTTGTATACACGTCATACTCCCTCTGAGATGTCATTGCTCACAGTTTCATCTCAATTGTGTCCTTGTGTCCACTTGTGTAGCAAGCTACATGCTTCTGTGAGCTCCTGCTTCTGAGCTGAGCCCTGCCATGTCATCTGAGAGGAAAAGACAGTTATAAAAGCCACAAGCCAAGGAACAGCATTGTCTCTGAGCTTTTACAGCTTTTCACTGATATGTAGAAACTGAATAATTTGCTACTCAATTTTCTTGATAATTGTGGTAGCATGCCAGCTTTTTCCTACAAAAAGTGTTTGTTTAAAAAAAAATTTTTTTTAAAGGAAGAAAGAAAAATCCTGGTTGCTGGAATTTAAAGGTTCTGCTTAGTCCTTTCTATGGAAATGGAGCATGTAGTGAATGAGGGGCTGGTGGCCTCTGCTTGCTGTATATATTGAGTTGTTAGAAAGGTCATGGTGTATTTTGTCTGTGTTTTTCTATGCAGAATGTGTCATGACTTTTCCAGTGACCCAGTAGTTATTCATTATGGACCTTTGCTGCCACTGCAGCTGTCAGCTAGTAAGGACTTCACTAGGCCTCTCCACTGAGCTCAGTGAACTTTATATAGATAGAAAGAGAGAGAGAGAGAGAGAGAGATATTAAAGCAGTTCTAAATAATAGTGCAAAGTGCTGTTTGAAATATATCCATTTTGCTCATAGTATTTTCTAGCTATATTAAACTTCAGGGTTCTTTCTTAGTTGAATTCCAGTTTATTCAAAGTTATCTATAAATCTAAAGCAGATGATATATGTTTATCATAGTATGCTTTTTAAAATACTTTTTCAGTTGAATATAGAAAGCCCTGTATTCCATATTGAAATTTGTTAATGGCTCTTCCAGAGATTTATTTTTGGATATTTTATTACTTTTAGTAATTGATAAATGATAGAGTCTCTTAAGTTGCCAAATTGTACTACAATCTTCTGCATATGCTAACATGGGAGCTTGGCAGATGGTGTGGTGGTTGGAGTACTGGACTCCAAAATAGCTGACTGCAGTTCAAGTTTTGGACCTGGCGGTTTGCTTTCTCATTTTCCCCCTCCCTCCCCATGGTCAAATTAAAAAAAAAAAAAAAAGAAAAGAAAATTAAATAAATAAGTCTTTATAAAAGAAAAGAAAAGAAAAAAAGAAAGAAATGCTAGCTAGCATGAAGGAGAAAAATCATAGTTACTATCATGGGCTAGATTCCATTTTTTTAAAAGGAGCACATCATCTTTGGCATGGTAAAATAAGGTTTAACACATTAAGGGAAACAACCCAGATTTTAAATAAAAATAGAGGCATACATAAACATCTTTGCTACATATGGATATACACACACATATATGTTACATATATTTAAAGATATATATGTATCTCCGCATAGAGCTATCTCATCAGAGAAGTCATGAGACATTTTCGAATGGAAAAACAAAAAACACATCATGACTTTTTCAGTGACCCTATATGCACGTGTGTGTGTGTGTGCCTGCATTATCAATTATATCCAGGAATAGGACTTTGATGTACTCAAAATTGATTTCTAAATTTCTTTCTCTTTGTTACAGAGTGCATGCACTCACTAGAAAGAGAACAAGAGAGAGAAAGCACTCTCATTAAGTCCTGGTCACACTATGGTTCCTTCTCCATTCCTCTCCTTTTGGGATTTTGAGCATGCACATACACATGCCTCACATATATATTTTTTTAACTTTCGAGTCCAGGACTCAGCTGCATAGTCAACTATGTGGGATCCAGCTGCCTTCACCACCACACAACGGGCTGGCCCTTATTTCTAAATTTCTAACCCAACATACTAGATTTTGTCAGGAATAACATTGGAGCAAAACCATATATCACTTCTGATTACCCAACTCTAAAACATATAGCACAGTGATTAAGCATGTGCATCAGGAGCCTGATCTCACATGGCCAGCCATGCTTTGTCCTGGCCCTGGAGGCTTGAAGAGCATGCTGGGTGCATCTGTGCGATATTATGCATGCCCCAAATCCTGATGGGATGGACAGATGGAGAAAAGAGGATTGTGGCATGACCACACCCCATCGGAAGGAGGACTTTCTCTCTTTCTATGGCAAGCACATGTACCCTCTGACCAAAAACAAACAAACAAACAAACAAAAAAAAAAACAGTTCTGAGATGAGACTAAGGGGTGAAATATTGTCCAGGGGCCAGCAGATGGCATAGCAATTATGTCTCTGGACTCCCACATAGCCAACTGCAATTTGAGTCCCAAACCTGGTGGCTTGAAACTTGTATGAGTTTGTGTGTGCATGGTGCATGTAAGCCCAAGATCCAGAGAGGAGAATGGAGAAGAAGGGATTGCTGTGTGGCCATCCCCCTTGGAGGGTGATTTCTCACTTTCCCTCTCACTTTCTCTCTCTCTCTCTCTCCAGTAAGTGCATGTACCCTAATACAGAAAACCTCTTAAAGAAAACAAAACAATTATGACTGAAAGTTGATGATGTCACATAGGCTATACATAAAATATGTGTAGTCTCACTTTACCACAGTATATAAAGGGTGTATTTCGAAGCTCTTGAAACATCATGTTGTGGATAAAAACAAGCTCCCTGAAGTACTACTTTTTTTAAAAAAAGAATTATTTTATTATTTAATTTTATTAATTGTCTTTATTTTATTTTTATATTTATTTTTATTTTTATTTTTATTTTTATTTTTATTTTTTGAGGTTGACCAGAGAGAAACAGAGAAAAGGAAAGTGAGAAAGCAAACTGACAGGTCTGGGACTTGAACCATGGCCAGCTATGTGGGAATCCAGCCTCCTTAACTACCATGCCACCTGCCAGCCCCTAAAATACTGCTCTTTAAACAGAATATTCAATACTTGCCTGTACATAATCTGAAAATAAATTTCAAGATAAAAGTTGATAGTAGTTATGATGTTTCATGCATGGGACCACCAGCTGTCATAATGGTTTTGTCATTGGACTTCCATGTAGTCAACAACGGCTTGAGTCATGGACCTGGCAGCTTAAAACTCATGCTGGGCATTGGACCAGCAGTTGGCGTAATGGCTATGTTGCTGGACTCCCATGTAGTTGACCACGGTTCGAGTCCCAGACCTGGTGGCTTAAACTCATGCTAGGCGCATGTACGTGCGTGCCCAAGATCCCGAGAGGAGAATGGAGGAGAAGGGATTGTGATGTGGCCATCGTGCCTGGACGGTGATTTCTTGTTTTCTGTCTCTCTCTCTCTCTGTCTTTCTGGCAAGTGCACGCGCACCCTATGACAAAAACCTCTCCCAGAAAAAAAAAACAAAAAACTAAAACTCATACTGGGCGCATGTGCGTGCTTGCCCAAAATCCCAAGAGGAGAATGGAGAAGGGATTGTAGTGTGATCATCTTCCCTGGGGGGTGATTTCTTGCTTTTTGTCTCTCTGTCTCTCTCTCCAGTGAGTGCACATGCCCTATACCAAAAATCTCTCTCTACAAAGAAAGAAAGATGAAAGAAAGAAAGAAAGAAAGAAAGAAAGAAAGAAAGAAAGAAAGAAAGAGAGAGAGAAAGAAAGAAGGAAGGAAGTTTCATGCATGGGGCCAGCAGGTGGCATAGTGGTTAAGGCATTGGACTCTCACACAGCCAACTACAGTCTGAATACCGACCCAGAGGCTTGAAACTCAGACCAGGTGCATGTGTGTGCATGCCCAAAATCCCAAGAGGAGAATGGAGGAAAGGGATTGCAGCATGGCCATTCCCCCCGGGGGGGTGGGAATTTTCACTTTGTCTCTCTGTGTCTCTCTGGTGAGCACATGTTCCCCATAGCAAAAATCTCTCCAAAAAACAAAACAAAGTTTCATATAGCTTTTTAGAGCAAAAACTGTGCAGCCCTGTTAATCAGAATGGGACAAGTTGCTTTAATATCCTTTCTAGTTCATCGTGCTGCCTGAATTGAGTGAAGGAGAGCCTTTTAGGGTGATCTCTAACCCTTTCTTAGGTAGACCACTCCCTGCTTTTGCAGATAAAATGCAAAGCTCTATATACAGAAGTCTAATTTTCCATTTTCTGTTTTTGTCGGATAGTCAGGAATCTATGCACTATTGTTTTCATCAGTGTTTAGATTTTTGTCTCCTATATACCAATTTCTTATTAAATAACAGTATCAAAGTAATTAGGAATAAATTTAAGATGAATGTAACATGACTAGGTTCTTTCATCAAACCCAATCCAGGCATTGTCCTGAGACTGGTGATCTTGTTGCTGTAGCGTTGCGTAACGGCCGTCTCCTTTCTCTTTCCAGAGCCCAGCATTACATCAACATGCCCGTGCAGTTCAAACCAAAATCGGGGGGCAAGTTTGAAGCTTTGCTCGTTATTCAAACAGATGAAGGCAAGAGTGTTGCTATTCGGCTAATTGGTGAAGCTTTTGAAAAAGCTAACTAGGGTGCATTTCGTGTAAAGTAAATTACTTAAGTTATATTTTGGTAACTTCATTTTTCTACACTACAATTACGCTTTTGTATATTTTTTATATAATGAATTGGATATGTATGACTGTAAATTTCTTGTTTTGAGGAGCCAGCACTGAAGACCTAACTAAATATCATGTATCTACCCTATAGTATTTTACTTTTACAGGGGAACAGAAAGTTCTGTTTTTGAATTATGATACTGTGAATAAACATGGTATATATTTTAATGTGGGTATAGCCAATAATATTTAATTATTAAAAACTATTTCCACCAGACTTGTCTTTTGATATGATATCATCCTGAAATTAGATGTATCACTTTATTCAGCTAATTATTTCCGAGTTTCTGGATCTGCTCTGTGATTTTTCTTCTCATTACAGTTTTTCCCCCCCTAAGAAATTCCTTCTCTATTCATTCTGTCTTTATCTAATTGCCAAGAGGAAAAATGCTAGCTTACTTTCAAAGAATTAGTTTTCTCCAGAGTGGGAAAAGTCTTGATATTTTGTACAAATGCAGTGGAGAGGCTGGGATAATTTTAATTTGTCATTTATTGTAATTAAAGCTACATAAGACAGCCACTCCAGAATCCAACATAGAAGGGGCACTGTGCAGGTAGCAAACAGTGGGACCCAGGGTAAGGGGCGAGCAGCAGGTGACCACGAGGCAGAGAGAGTGGACCTGTAGTGAGGTCTTGAACTCTGGCAAAACCTGAGGTCAAGTAGGAAGAAGCTCCGGCTAGCAGGTGGCATGGTGGTTGAGATACTGTACTCCCATATGTCTGACTGCAATTCGAGTCCTGGACTGCGTGGTTTGAAATTCACTCTGGGCACGTGAAATTCACTCTGGGCACGTATGTGTGCTTGGACAAAACTCTCAGAAGAATGGAGGAGAAGGAATTGTAGTGTGGCCATACACCCTGGAGGGCAGATTCTCATTTCCCCTCTCCCTGTCTCTCTTTTTCTCTGTCACATTTTTCACAAGTTATGCAGGTGGTACTTTACTGATAATTGCCTGATTCCTGTTCCAGATTTTGTGCATTAAATGTGAGATGACTTCACACATGAATGTGTATTTGACAACATTCAGTTTCAGAAATTTGTTAAAAGAGTAGTATTGCTTTTTAAAAATGTTTGCCACAGTGGGACTAGCAGATGGTGTAATGGTTACGTTGCTGGACTCCTATGTAATCGACTGTGGTTCAAGTCACGGACCTGGTGCTTAAAACTCATGCCAGACCTGTGTACGTGTGTGTCAAAATCCTGAGAAGAGAATGGAGGAGAAGGGATTGTGGCATGGCCATCCCCCCTGGGGGTAATTTCTTGCTTTCTGTCTCCCTCTGGCTCTCCGGTGAGCACATGCACCCTATAGCAAAGATCTCTCTCAAAAAAAAAAAAAAAAAAAAAAGTGAAACTCCTTTTATAGACCATACACATTTTATGTATCTGTACTTCTTCCTGTGCCTTTTTGTTTTGGAAACACAATGCTTGGAGTCTTAAGGGCAGTAGATGTGGACAAATAGTTTGTGCAGCCAGTTGCCACTATTAAAGCAGTTACTGCAAACTCCTGACTGTCCTGATTATAGTTGCTAATGTGGAAAAGCATCTAACAGGCAAGGTCACACTGTGAGTGTTCCTTTAATTAGCTTTCCATCTGGAAGCTGTCTCCCTCCCTTCCCCTCCTTTCCCAGATTGAAAATGTGAACCTATACCTCTTTTCTGAACTCCAGACTACGTCAAACTGGGCATCTCTATACACTTAGTTACCAGATAAGCATCTCAAAATTTTGATTCCCTGGCTGCCTCCAGTGTGTTTCTCCTAACTTTTCTTTGCTAGGTAGATGTCACCACCTAGGTACTCAGCCAAAGGCCTCGGTTTTGATGTCTTTTATCCTCACCCCTCACATCAACTCTTTCCAAAGTAGACCTAAAATAAGTCTTTGTTTCTCTGCTGTGCCTCAGTAGCCCAAGTACGGTCATCTCTCTCTCTCTCTCTCTCTCTCTCTCTCTCTGAGGCCATTGACTTAGTTTTCTCTCCTGACTGCCTGCTCTGCCCCTAGCCCTAGGGCCCTTTCTTCACCATATGGCAAATTTACATCTTTAAGCATAATTACTTTGCATGGAGTCTAAAGTCTGGATGACTCCTCATGGCCTGAGGGCGGGCAGGGCTGTCATCACTGGCCCTGTCTGCCTCCTGTGGCCTTGCTTGCTCACTCACTGGGCTCCAGCTGTGCTGAGCTTCCTTGGTCTGAGGCTCTTCCAAATATCTCCATGGCCGGCTCCTCATCCCTCAGGCCTTTCCTGACCACTGTGTCCAAGCTAAGCCCCTGACTCTTCCTCCTCATGCAGTTTCATTACATTAGAGCCCCTCATGTCCACCTGCTGTTTCCCTGCTTACTCTTTCACTGGTTACTCGTCTCCCTCCTGAAGAATGTAAGCTCTGTGTGAAGACCTGGGCTGCCAGCTCATCACCGCATCCTCAGCACCTGGACAGCGCCTCTTGTGGTATGTGTGATTATCTGTTAATTCTTCACAATTGTGTGGGATTGGGGCTTTTACCACAGGGAAGCTGGAGGATGAGATCCTCCTACTGTAGTCCCTGGGAGGCTGAGGCGACATCTGCTGAGAGACAGACAGTGTTATAGGAGGCTTCTGGGGGACATGTCCGGCGTGAGGTTGAGACTTGTATTAGTGTGTAGATGAAGAACCTAAGGCTCCGCAAGGTTAAATAGTTAGCTAAAAGTCACACAGCTAAAAGGATTTGAGCTGGGATTCAAACCTTGTTTATTCTGACTTCGGTGCCCAGTTACAGGTAATAGAAACTATTCTTAATAAGAGAAAATGTAATACGAATGTAAGGCTGCTTTTAAAAGTTTGATTCTTTTTGGTTGAAAAGCAGCCCTAAGATTTCAAAGTAATGTGTCCTATGAATTTGGTTCATTCAAGTCCATAGAAGTAAGGAGCCCTTTTAACCAGGTAAGACATTTTGCAGGCAAGACTGAAAGTTCTATAGAACTCAGTGATTATTAATGTTCATCATTACTGATTTAATTAGTCCAGAAATGAAATTGGATAAGAGGGCATCTGTTTTTAGTCTTCAGTTAAACTCTGAGATTGAAATGATTTTTTATATATACAGTACATATGTTTTACGGACAGGGATCTCTGGGTAGTATTAAATTGTTCTTTTTCTCATAACTATGAATTTACTCTTTTTGTTATTTCTTAAATGACTTACTTTTTGATATATTTTTTAAAGAATTATTTAACTTCATTTGTTTATTTTAATTTGACCAGAGGGATGGGGGGGAGGGAGTGAGAAAGCAAACATCCAGGTCTGGGACTTGAACCACGGTTGGTCATGTGGGAGTCCAGTGCCCTTAATTACCATGTCACCTGCTGGTCCCTCAATATATTTTTAAAGAATTATGTATTTTATTAATTAATTACTGTTTTTTAATTTGACCAGAGAGAGACAGAGAATGAGAGAGAGGGAAAGTGAGAAAGCAAGCCATCATGTCCAGGACTTGAACTGTGGTCAGCCATGTGGGAGTTCAGCACCTTAACTACCATTCCATCTGCCAGTCCTTTCAATTCAAATTTAGTTTCTTTCTTTCTTTCTTTCTCTCTCTCTTTTTTTTTTTTTTTTAGTTTGCCAGAGGGCGCATTTGCTTACGATGGGGCCTGATCATGATTTTTTCTTTTCTTTCTCCATCCTGTCAGTGTTCTGGGCATGTTTGTATGGACACCGAGTGAGTTGGTATTGGGGCCAGATCTGAGCTGTCATTGGCCATGTTGGATATAATTCCCTCTGCCCAGCTCTTTACTACTACTGTACTACAGGGCTGGCCTGTAAAACTTTTAATTTTAAGTTTATTTTGCCTTTTTTCATGAAAAAGAGACAGACACACTTGACAGGTCTTCATACTGTGATCCTTCTCCCAGTCCTATAGATAGCCAGGGTCATGGGCTTGTCTGGTGTGTTCAGATAGACCCAGGAACTGAACTCAGAGCCTTGCGGGGTGCCCTCTAGCGTCACACCGCTGTGCCCCTCCTACCTGTGCTCCTGCAGCCAGATCACAGATTGTTTTCTATGTGTCTTTTCCACTTAGTGGAACTAATATATCAGCCTTAAAGATACATTTGTTGGCCACTGCACATTTTGGATACCCAGATTGGTTAAGATATTTTGTATTGTTGGTTCACACACTCTAGCAACAGACTCACTTGGCATCTGATAAATTTTACTCTTCAAATTTCATTCGAGTTTTATCTTTTTAGGTTGTTAGTCAGCTTTTACTGGAATTCACAGTGCCACTTTGTGGATTCCCACAACCACAGGTCTAGCCTCTTGCCATTTCTACTGTGTGTCATCACTGTGCTCTACAAACTCAGGACTTCTTCCCCCAAACCTGTTCCTTAATCCAAAAATCTCACAGGGGTACTTTTGGAAAAATTGGAAAAAGGATGGCTTGTTTTGAGTTTTATACCATTTTCTTTATTACCTTATTCTGAATAGGAAAATGAGATAACTTTGTTTAAAGATGTTCAGAGCAGTGACATTCCAAGAATAGTTACTTTGTAAATAACCATTATTAAAGAATGTGATGGATTGATAGGCAGCTTCTTAGGTGGCCCACAGTGATCCCTACCTAGTATTTATGGCCTTGTGTATCCACCGTCCCCTTTGGAGTAACTTGTTTCTAACCAATAGGGTGCCTCGACATTGATGGAAATGTCACTTGCCTGATTAGAGCTCAAAAGATTCTGACTTCAATCTTGCTAACAGATTCTCCCTGTCTTTAATGAAGCAAGTTTTTTTTCCTGGAGAAGGCCGTGTGGCAAAAAATTGAGGGGTAATCTCTGACCAGCAGTCAGCTATAAACAGATTATCAGCCTAGTAGGCCAAAAGGAAGCCAGTCCCACTGCCCACCTTGGAAATGAGCTTGGAAATGGAGTCTTCCTCAGTTGGGCCTGCAGATGAGACCCAGTTCTCTCTAACACCATGATTGCAGTCTTATTAGAGACCCCAGAGGGCCTAGCTAAGTTGTGCCCAGATTTTCAAATCACAGAAACTTAAAATGCTTGTGGTTTTATGTGTGTTTATTATTTTTATTATTATTTTAGATTTTTGCCATAGGGTGTGTGTGCTTGCTGGAGAGAAACAGAGAGAGAGAGAGAAAGTGAGAAATCACTTCCTGGGGGGATGGCGATGTCACAATCCCTTCTCCATTCTCCTCTTGGGATTTTTCATGCACATGCACCCTGCATGATGCTCA